GGGTTATAGGCGCATACCACCATTCCTGGCTAATTTTTTTGTATTTTTAGTAGAGACAGGGTTTCACCATGTTGGTCAGTCTGGTCTTGAACTCCTGACTTTGTAATCCACCCGCCTTGGCCTCCCAAAGTGCTGGGATTACAGGTGTGAGCCACCACTCCCAGCCATCTCTTCAATTTTCTCTCTGTTCTATCCTCACGTTTCCTGTGTATGTGTGTAGTAAAACCTCTCTCTGCTTTCCTCTTAATAAGGATGCATGTGATGTCATGTAGAGCCCACCTTGATAATCCAAAATGATCAATCTCCTTATTTCAAGATCCTTATTTTAATCACATATTCCAAGACCTTTTACCCAAATAAGGAAATATGAATCGTTTCCAGAGTTTCAGATCTATTTTTCTTTGGGGGATGGGCATTATTCTACCTACCACAATGATGAAAAATATATATGTAAGCTCATGAATTAGACCCTAAGCCCTGCTAAAGAAACCCAGCTTCCTGCATCATTTTGAATCAGAAAGGCATCAGGTCCAGAGCCCAGAGTTGTGAGGGGAGTTAGAAGCTTCATATGATGCCTAGGACATAACAGCCATCAACCTAGAAAATGTCACTGACACAGATGGGGAAATTACCATTTCTTTCCAATTTTATCCAGTTTTCTTGCCCCCAATTTTCTTATTTTTAAAATAAGTATCTGCTTTATTGATATATAATTCATATATACTTTTTTAACCTGGCCGAAAACCTTCAATAACATGAGCTTTAATTTCTCAGGGTTTCAATGAGCAGTGTGAAGACTTTAAAATGCATCGCATAGATTTCAAAAGATCAGAAATGGGGCCAATGTAGAGAATTCCCCTAACGTTACTAAGATAACACAGGGACTCAAGAGGTGCAAGTTTCTTTCCTCTCCCCACAAACACCCACAACTTTAGGCTTCTCTTTCTCTTAAGGTCAGGTAAGAACTGATCTTCTGCAATTCACTGTATCTCCTTAAAACATATGCACAGATGCTCCATGCCAGACAACTTAGAAAGGGTGACCCTAAAGCGGTAAGACCTTCACTGAATTTAACATTTAATAAACATTTTAAAATATATATATTTTTAGGCTAGGCGCAATGGCTCATACCTGTAATCCCAGCACTTTGGGAGGCCGAGGCAGGCGGATCCCCTGAAGTCAGGAGTTCGAGACCAGCCTGACCAATATGATGAAACCCCGTCTCTACTAAAAATATAAAACTTAGCTGGGCATAGCGGTGGGTACCTCTAATCCCAGCTACTCAGGAGGCTGAGACAGGAGAATCACTTGAACCCAGTAGGCGGAGTTTGCAGTGAGCTGAGATCGTACCATTGCCCTCCAAGCCTGGGCAGCAAGAGCGAAACTCTGTCTCAAAAGTAAAAATAAAAATACAATACATATTTTATTTTATGTACAACAATAATTTATGTAATAAATTTCCTATACTCATAAAGTAGATGGTGGCAATTTCAACTTTCAATAAGAATAGTATACAGAATGGACATATCAGTTACAAAATTCTTAAGCAGGAGAGCTTTATCAGAGATAAGCCATCTGTTTAAGATATTGCTCAAGCTTTTGCATGTGCCTGCAGAGAGTGGGCCAGCGACCTCTCAGTATCTCAATGCCTGCAGTGGTAACTCTCTGTTAGAAGGCATTTGCAGTGCACCCAGTGGGTATTGGAATCAGACCAGATCTGGTAGAGAGGATGGAGGAGCGATGGAGGGGTACACTTTGGATGCAGAAACACCTGGGACAGAACATCAGGGGTGCCGTATCACCCAGCCAGGACCAGAATTTATCCTCAAGAGTATCCCTTCAGCTTACACGGATTTCACAAAGGAACTGAATGAATAAGATTTAAAAACAAATTCCAATGCACTCTCTAGTTCTATCTCTGACTCTTGGATTCTAAGTATGTTCCTTTTTATAGATTAAAGATATTTTTTCTGAGGCTAAGCACAGTGGCTAACACCTATAACTCCAGGACTTTGGGAGGCAGAGGCGGGAGGATCACTTGAGGTCAGGAGCTCAAGACCAGCCTGGCCAACATGGCAAAACCCCATATCTACTAAAAATACAAAAATTAGCCAGGTGTGGTGGCTCCCACCTGTAATTCCAGCTATGCTAGGGATTGAGGCATGACAATTATTACTTGAAACCAAGAGGTGGAGGTTGCAGTGAGCCAAGATTGCACCACTCCATGCCGGCCTGGGGGACGGAGCAAGCCTCTGTATTAAAACAAAATAAAACAAAACAAAAAAGCAATTTTTCCCTACTCATTTGAATTTCTTTCTTTCTTTCTTTCTTTCTTTCTTTCTTTCTTTCTTTCTTTCTTTCTCTTTCTTTCTTTTTCTTTCTTTCTTTTTCTTTCTTTCTCCCTTTCTCCCTCTCTCTCTCTCTCTCTCTCCCCCCTCTCTCTCTCTCTCTCTCTCTCTTTCTTTCCTTCTTTCTTTCTTTCTTTTTTTGTGAGACAGAATCCCACTCTGTCGCCCAGGCTGGAGTGCAATGGCACAATCTCGGCTCACTGCAACCTCCAACTCCCGGGTTCAAGTGATTCTCTTGCCTCAGCTGCAATTACAAGTGACAGGTGACAGCCACCATGCCCAGCTAAATTTTTTTTGTATTTTTTTTTTAGTAGAGATAGGGTTTCTCCATGTTGGCCAGGCTGGTCTTGAACTCCTGACCTCAGGTGATCCGCCTGCCTTGGCCTCCCAAAGTGCTAGGATTATAGGTGTGAGCCACTGTGCCTGGTTTCTACTCCTTTGAATTTATAATAATTTCCATTTTTTTTTCTTTCTCCACTAAGTGGAGAACAATAAATACCAGCATAGTGCACACAAACAATTTCCATCTGCCACATACAAATAGTCTCTGACCGGTGAGGTAACAACGAAGAGATACTGGCCATTGTGAAGGCTTTACCATCATCCCAGGAAACAAGCCACAGTCTCCTCCGCCAACCTTAGTTCTCCAATACCAACTCCCATTCAGAAAGAAGCGGGGTGAAAAGTAAGATTCACACACCTCTAACAGTTCTAGGATTTTCAACCTTCCCTCCTGCGCCCTTTAGGTCATGGTCCTTTCAAGCACATCTTTCTGGCTGCACAGTGGTCTGTCAGGAAAGGGGAAGGTTCTAGCCACCTTACTTCCTGTTGTCTCCATTTCCAATACTCCATTCAATGCTTTGGCCTCTCATCTATCCAAAGGGAGCAGCTGCTAAATTTTATTTTATCATAGTAATTTTTTTTTTTTTTTTTGAGATGGAGTCTCACTCCTCTGTCACCCAGGCTGGAGTGCAGTGGTGCAATCTCAGCTCACTACAATCTCCACCTCCCAGGTTCAAGCAATTCTCTGCCTCAGCCTCTCAAGTAGCTGGGATTACAGGCGCCTGCCACCACACCTGGCTAATTTATGTATTTTTAGTAGAGATGGAGTTTCACCATCTTGGTCAGGCTGGTCTTGAACTCCTGACCTTGAGATTCACCAGCCTCAGCCTCCCAAAGTGCTGGGATTACAGGCGTGAGCCACTGCGCCTGGTTGTAATTTTTAATTTCTAACCAAAGTTTACTGAACAAACTTGCCTGACCAACCAACACAACCCCCTCCTTCTGTAAGAGGGAATCGTGGGTGCCTGCAGCTTGTTGAACACGTTCATTCATTAGTCCACGTCCTCTGGTTGCCATGGCTGAGCTGGTGCTCACCGTGAGTCAGTTGTGCTTGTTATGAAACCTGTTTATGCCCATCTTACTTGCTACGGGAATCGTTATGTAGTTCAATATTTTTTTTTTTTTTTTTTTTTTTTT